ATTATGAAAGAAAAGAATGATTTCTTATTCTTTGCTAATCATCATGGGTTTCGTCGTCATTCGTCATAGGTTTTGCCATTCGTCAAATCGTCATTCAGAAATTTCTTGACGAATTGTTTCGTCATTCGTCAATGACGAAAGCTTCGTCATTCGTCAGGCATCTTTAACAGGCATGTAGAATTAAAATAAAATAATTTTAATCGAATTTGGTTAGGTAGTTATTAAGAAAACTTCGCTCAAGTTTTGAGAAAATTTATCCCGCTTATAAACAAACTGCGACTAAATTTTTTAAACTTTGAGTAAAGTTTTCTCGACAACCACTTAATCAAATTCGATGGAATTTTATTTATTTTAATTGTACAGTACATACATGTAGAATTGAAATAATATAAAAAAAATTCATCGAATTTTATTAAGTGATTTTCAAAAAACTTCGCCAAAGTTCTAAAAAATTGCAAAAAAAAAAAAAAAAATACTTATCTGAAAATCTTGCTACTGGGGTACTTAGGTAGGACGGGTTACTATGAAGGAATTTCAAGAGAAGCGTGGAAGGACCAGGGATTCTACTGCCACTAGGATCCTGGTCTTATTCAAGGAAGGACTTTATAAATACGATGATTTCTATGCCATTCAACTAACAGGACTTTTATACAAAAATACTTTGAGGCTAAATTTAATTAATTTTTTTTTCTTTTTTTTTTTTTATTACTTTTTTATTTTAGTTTTTATTTTAATATATAAATATAACTGATAATTATCCGACTTTATTCTTACCCTATTTTAATAATCACCAAATGCTTATAAAAAAATACTGGCCCATACGTGTTGATAAAAAAAATTAAAAGCCGGATTGACGGATCACGTTAAAATTATGGCCTTAAGAGTTAATATTAGTGGTAGATGAGGATTTTTGGAGCAAGATGATGTTTAACATTTTAGTAAACTATTTTTAAAATCCTTTAACGACAGTGTACAATACATAGCATCGTATATAAATATTCTCAAATATTTAATAAATATTGAGCATTTATAAGAACATTGCCACAAATATCAATAATAGTTACTAGGATATTATGGCTTAGTTAAAATTTTAGAAATTTCTAATTCCATTATAAATACTCAATTAAAAATATTTGTTCAAACTTTTTATAGTTATTATCGTTATAAATATATAAAATAATACTTATAATTCCTATTAAAAATAAAATAATTTATAAAATTTTGTCAAGATAATTAAAAATGACATCTGACAACTCTTATGTACAAATTCAAGTTGAAAACGAAATTACAACCGGGAAGACTCCAGATAAAAATACATTAAAAAAATTTTCAGAAATTGTTTGCTCGCCTAATATGCAACATGTAGCTGTGTTAGACGAAGATTGCAATATTACTTTTTGGTTTATTGATATTAAAAACAAATCTCCGAAGAATGTTAAAATAATTAATATTGACAATATTTGTGCAAAAGCAAAAGGAGATAGGTTATTTGCAATTTCAGATAACATGCTTACTTCAATTGGTCTTAAAAGAGTCAATCCCTACAACTTTAGTAAGTTATGCATAAATTTAATCTTATTCTATTTCAATAAATTTGACTAACATATTACATTTATGTAGAAATTTTCGATTATAAAACTGAAGAAGAGGTATTGCTGACCTTTCCGGATTGGCAAACGGAAATTGACTTCTTGTCCTTTACTGATAACGGAAATATTATAATGGTCAATACCAGATATTACAGAGCATATGTTTTTTCAAATAAAAAAAAAGAATGGATTTGTAAAACAATGATTGAGTTGAAATATTTTAAAAAAATTTATATTACACCTAAAGGCAAATTGATCATATTTAATGATACAATTTATGAGATCACAATATGGGACATTAAAAACTTATCAATTAAAACTCGTATTTTAGTAGAATGGCATTATATATTTGAATCTATAGAAATCAGTGATGATGAAGAATTACTAATAGTAAGCGCCAAACATGAGAAAATTAAAAAAACACGTTTATATGTCTTTTCCACCGAAACTGGGATAAACCTAGCATTTTGTAAGTTTTTGAATTAATATAATAACTTTTATCATAATCATTTGATAGCAATTTCATTTATTATTTTTATTTAATATTTAGTTGATGCACTACTATTTGTTATCGATAGATTTCACTTAATCGCTTCTAAAAAAGGAGAAAGATTACTTTATGTATTAGACGATCCACCAGATAAGTATTATAATATAGTGGATCCTTACAATCTAACAAATCCAAAAGATATGAGTGACTTTTTTGAAAATAACCAGATTCAAGAACCATACGTAATTCAATCAGACAAGATAGTTTATATGACTGATGGGAATTTGTCAATCAAAGATTTAGTGCCTGATAATTCTGATGACTGGATGGAATACTTACGAAAAGAATTGAAGGACACAAACAGCATTACAACACTATCTGAAAAGAGAACTAAAATTATAAAGAATATATTAAATAATAACTATAATAAATATATTTCTGATAACGAAGAATTTTCAGGGCATTATTTAAAATGGGGATTAGAATTAGACAGAAACTCAGTAATACTTACAGTAACTGACTTTAACTATCGCAAGAAGAATTGGAATCCTAATCACAAAAAAAACCGACTAGAAATTCTTCCATCTTTTCATCAGGATGGAAAAAAGTTTATAGCACACTGTGAAATTCTTGATAATGATGATTTTATTATGATTACACGTATTGGAGTAATTATATGGACTTTTAGATTATCTATAGCCACTAAGACAAAAAGCATTAAGATGCATTATTATTGGAATGATTGTAATGGCGATTTAGAGAAATTCGTATCTGATCATAATGGTCGTTTAAAGGAATTTGACTTCAGTGACTTAAAATCTAAAGATCTGACTTCAGAAAGAATTCTCCCTAATTCAAGTTACGAAACCATCTGTAGAAATTTAGATATTGAATTTGGTGAAAAACAAACACTTTTCCGAGAATTTTTAAAAGATAATATTTTTGACGAATTTTATTTAATTTGCTATGGAAAAATTCTTATGGCAACATTTATCTCATTAAATGATGATAAGTGGATTAGAACTTTAGGGAACAACTGTATAGAAAAATGCATGCAAGAAAATTATCATTTGATATTTAAAATCTCTTTGCTGAGTATTATTTTTGATTTTGATAACTTTATTGAATTATCGGAAAATCATCCTGCATTTATATTCTCTACTTTATCTATAATATCATTTGTAGTTCCTTCGATTGACATAAATCCAAAATTAATTTCACATCTTTCCAGTTATGGTAGATACTGCCATTTATCTAAAACATCATTTATTAATAGATTTACATCTAATATTTGTAGCCATCGTTTGATAAGTAGTAATAAAAATTTAGTTATAAAACCAGATAAAGATTATGATCTTATAGATGATAAATCATCAATAACGGTGCTTGCATTTCCTCTGCCAAACTTTATTTCTTATCCAAAAGATTATAGTTTTTGGAAAGAATTAGTGCAACCTGCTCACAATTGTTTTACATATACAAATAGGCTCAAAATGATAAATGAAGAATTTTATTCATATTTAAATGGAGAAGCACTGCTAGGTTTTAAATGGAATACTTATGGGAAGAAATATTATTTAACAATTTGGGCAATTTATACAGCTTTTCTTTGTAGTTTTATCATTGCCGCAACATATTTTAAAAATTTCTCTCAGACAAGTTTATATATTCTTTTAAATATAACTATTTGTCTTGGAATTTGGCATTTAATTTTTGAACTCCGCCAATTTATTTACTCTCCAAAAAGATATATATCTGGCTTTTGGAATTTCTTTGGTAATGTGAACTTAAATATATAATATTGATTTTTTATTATATTGCGACTAAAATATTTAATTATTTCTTCTCAAAGATTTATGTGCATTTTTATTACCAACAATATCATCAATTATATGGCTTCAAAGAAATGTGATTCCAACTTCAATGGCTACTATTTCTATTTTGCTATTAGAAATTAAATTTCTTTTATTTTTTCGTGCAATTGAATTTTCCGGTGTTTATTTCGCTATGATACTAAAAGTAGCTCAAAAAAGTTTTTCATTTTTGGTGATATTAGGATTAGTTATATTTGCCTTTGCACATTCATTACATATTTTATTGCGCTATTCTACTGATCCGTGGAATTCAACTACAACTTATAATGCTATAGAACCTGATGGTACAATTGACGAAAACTCATCACTTATAGAACCTTCTACTACGTCTACTAATATGTTTATGTCAATTGGCTCATCAATTTCAGCTGTTTTTATTATGTTAACAGGTAAATTTAAATTTATTTGTTTTTTATACATACATATTATAATAATATTCCAACTTTTATATTATGTATATTTAATAGGAGACAGAACACCAATTTCTTATTGGGAATTAAACGATAACCCCACTTTACTTATTTTATCAATCGTATTTTCTTTCATTGCAACTATTTACCTGATGAATTTATTTATTGGATTACTTACTGAGGCTATATTTGAAACTACAAGAGAATCATTTTTAATTTTAAAGGCCGAGGTAAATTATATATATACAGTATAATATATATATACATTATTTAATATTTTATTAATTATATAGATATTAGAAGAAATTGAATTATTTTATATGTTACCTCATCAACGAAGGAAAGAAAATTGGTTTCCTTATGTTATGTAAGTTATTTCATTTTGCGCGCAAAAAATTAATCTTTTATTCTATTAATTTATATATTTTTATAATTTATACCTTTTTATCTTTTATAAGATTTTATGGATGCCACACAATCAAACTTCGCAAGCATGTAATAGATACCCAAAAAGAAAATTGGAAAGGTTATAAAAAGCCACAACTTTCTGAAGGCCTCGATAAAGTTCTTCTACTCCCTAAAAAACAACCTGACCTCGAACAAATTGAGAGTGAAATTAAAGAACTAAAAGAATCACATAATCAGGCAATTAAAACGATAAATATTATTAAGGAACTAAAAGAATCACATGATCAGGCAATTAAAACGATAAATATTATTGCCAACAAATTAGCAATAAATAATATTTAGATATAAAATATTTATATTTAATACATAAAATAAAATGGTCTCTTCTATTTTCAAGAAAGAAATCTAATATAATAAACTTTAATTTTATATAAATTCAATGAAAATATTAATTAATATACTTTTAATTGGTTAATAAAATATTTATACTTCAATTTACCTCTTCTACTAAAATAAAAATAAAAAGTTAACATCTAAAAATATAAATAATTTTTAACTAATAATTAAATAATACCAAATTTTCGATCTATTTAGATTAAAATGTTTGAAAGTAATTATATTGTTTTTTAGGGGTAAAAATTAGAATCAACTCTTTTATATTAAAATTACAATTCGTTTACACTCACCAAATTCGTTGATTCTAAATTTACAAATTGTTTGCATTAAACTCGGCAAAAAATTAGTTATTAATAAATTAATACTTACTCTTTTTAGTGCTTACTTCATGAACATATAACCAATTTATCACAAGTATTATATTAGAAATAACTCATCAATATATTTGTTTAAATTACTTAGATATTATCATATTTTACTCTCAATCTGATAATAGAGGATTTATATCATTAACCAAAACATAAGTAATGTTTTCAAATTTGAGTTTTCAAATGTAATAATAAATTTATACATAATCACTAGCGTTATTATATGTTTGAAAGAAAATAACATTAATCAACATCATATAATTCTTTAGTTAAAATGATTAAAAAGTTAAATTGAACTCACTTGCTAGTTTTAACATATTATTAGTAAATTAATGTCAAATCCTCATTTTATAAAATGAATACTACACTTACTAGCTGCTCGATAATATTATTATTTAAAACCAAGTCATTAAAGAATTCTGACTAGAATATGAATAGTCTTATTCAAATTATACTTACATACTGATAATTGATACAATTACAAGATAATTTAGTGGAATTCTAACTTGAAAAGAATACTGTACTAATACTTACTCTCTATGTAAAATAAGAAATATTTTAAATCATTATTAATTTATAGAACTTAATTTGACAAAAAAATATACAATTGAGTTTATACTAACTGGCTAAAGTTCAGCGTTATTCAGTAATAAAATTGTTATAAATTAATTTAATACATGACATATTATTACTTATAAACTTAAATTAATTTAATACATGATATATTATTACTTACACGCTTTGATTTAATTTATAAAAGTATTATTTGCACTAATTAATTTTAAATTTAATAAACGAATATAAGCAGCAAAATTTTATACTTACATCCTGATAATTGATTCAATTTTGCGAATATTTTATTATATTGTAATTTAAGTAATTGTAGATAGCAAACAATAACTTACTCTCTAATAGTTAAATTATTAATATTTTGTTCATCTTAATTTATTAGTTTGTAATAAATTTTACTCACTTGCTAGTTAATGTAAATATTTGAATTTTATTAGCAATAATTGTTATATTGATAGAGCTCATGTCCCATGAATTATCAGAAGTTTATTTGATTTTCCAATTATTTTGGACTATCGCTAGTTATAACTTCCAATTTAAAATTTGATTCATATATATTTAAACTTCAAAACTTACATTCTGATGGATTTTAACCATTTAAAATATTATTTAGTAAAATTTGTTATTAATTTTGATTAACAAATAATCAGATATTTGAATTTACCTTCTAGAATTTATTTAAACATTTTTAATCTTCCATTAGAAAATTCAGATTAAAATATTATTTAAATTATTTAAACTTACAAACTGGTATATGGATTATTAAAAGTTGAATTTAGAACTTTTATTTAAAACTCTTGTAAAACTAAGTTATACTCACACTCTAGCAATTGAAATTTAAAGTATTATTTAGCATTAATTCATTGTAAAATTCAATATAATATGTAATTGAGTTTATAATTACTCTCTGATAAAATTGTTTAAATAGTATTTAGTAACATTTAAGTAAAAATCAGAATTAACAAATAAATTAAAATAATTAAACTTATACTTACTCACTATTGTTAAAAAATTATAAAATCTTGATTTTGTGTAATTCTAGTTTGGTAAATGGATATTAGGAATATACTGTAACTTACGGCCTAGAAATTGAAGTATTAAGACATGAAATTCGTTAATATAGTCAACCGAACCCGAATAAATCGAACGCTTAATAAACTCCACTAAACAACATCACAAAATTTGTCATAGCACTTGCTAAGTGCTTATTTGAGCTAAGGTACTTATTATAAATACTTATAAAATATTTAAAAATTTAAATACTTAATAAGTACTAGAGTTAGTACTTAATAAGTAGTTAAAATTTATAAATATTAATAAAATATAAAATTTTAGTACTCATTAAGTACTAGCGTTTACTGAATACAAGATTATAACTAGTCCAACTTTGTGATGAAACTTTAATTTTTAAAATTATTATAAAGTTCAGTTTAAAAACGTGATAAATTTTCTAAACTGAACTTAACATAATTTTCTTAATAAGTTCGATATAGAGAGAGTTAACTATGAATATAATAGATGTTTGTACATACAATCTAGCATCATTTATAATTATCAAATTATTATTTAGTAATAATTCATTGTACAACTATTAATTAATAAATCATTTAATCATTACTCACTCTCTAGTAGTTTAATGTAATTTGTTTATAAATAATTTGAGTTGTTATTTGTAAAATAATAATAATAATAATAATAAAATAGAACTCGGAACTCACTCACTAGTATTTTAGTAATTAATTAGTATTTTGGAAATAATTTATTGTTAATACTGTTTACAGACGCATATGAAATAGGATTATACTCACTCGCTAATAATTTTATACAATTATTTTAGAAATCATTCACAGTGAACTTT